TGGTGATAAACGATCTATGCCTGTTCCGCCGCAACCGAGCAGCAGGCGATCTTTTGTTTATCATGGACCCGTCGTGGGGGTACTGATACCCCCACGACCGGTGTCCATAGGAGAGGACGCATTGGGTGGGTCCTCCCCATCTTCTCCGTCCGTTTCTTGAGCCGTCGCTGGTGAAGCAATGGTACGAGCCGAGGGACTGAGGAGTGTAGTAGTGCTGACGCGTGTTTGGCCCGGTGGACCTGTAGGGACGTCCACTGTAAGCATCAGAATGGGCCTAACGTCTGTAGCCAACTCTGACATAGCAGCAGCTGCCTCTTGGGCGGCCTTCATTGCCTCCAATTCGTCACGAACAGACTGTAGGTCCCGGTTCAAACTGTTCCTCTCGTCAGTGATAGTCTCAATAGTCTGAAGAGCGGTCTGGAGTTGGGCCTGGTTTTCGTTCCAGTCATCGAGGTAACCAATCACGGATAGGCCATCGTCCACGTCCCGAACATGTTTGGCCTGGATGTCGATGTGGAGGGTGCCCTCGAGAATCTCTACAGGGTCTTCCATGCAGAGAAGGAAGTCCATTGGGTCACGGACTTGAGGACCTTGTTCGTTGGTGGGATCGTCAACACAGCGGGAGCGAAGTTCAGACGGGACCCATTCAATGTGAAGCTTGCGCTTCTGGTAGGCAAGGTCGGTAGCTGACCAGTTCTTGATGACGCGGATGAAATTGGGGAACGACGACTCGCCGAGGTGAAACTGAAGAAAGGACGGCAGGTTGTCGAGCACGTTCATTGCAAGAGGAAGATAGCGCTGGCAAACCACCACAAAATAGCATCCATCTTCCTCGGCTGGTAAGATCATGACGAACAGAGGGCTTGGACTGTCGTTGGTGAGGTCCATCTGTGCTAGCTTGTCGATCCAGGCATCGTCATCCTCGGGAGACTTGGGTGCAGTGAGGAGCGAGGTTTTCGTCTCCTCCACAGGCTTTGGAGTGGAGGCAACCAAAGACTTTTTGATGATTGTGGTCCACTCAAAGGTTGGGGGGCCATCATCATCAT